GCCACCCAGGCGCCCCAGGACTTCCCGATTTTAACGGTAATAAAACATAGGTCTGGTGAGCATGACTGACTGGTACAGTCAGCTTGGAGAGAGCTGCTCAAATAACCTTGGCCTGTTTTTTGGATCCAGTATAGAATACTCTCCATCCTCATACAGAGAACCAGCAAGACCTAACAAGCATCACTCACCCCTGCGGTGGGTTCTTGTCCAGCCAGCCAGCCTTGATGACCTGTGTGATGGGGGTGGAGCCCCCGGGGAGCCCGTCCATGGGGTGTGGTGGGAGCTCGGGGATCAGGAGGCTGCTGGGCAGGGATGAGTTCAGGCTGCTCTTGTGCCATCCACCACTTGGGAAAGAAGAGAAGGAATGAGGGAGCCCAGGATGGGGGCTTCTATGGGGCAGGGGCTGAGGAGATAGAGTGGCTGGTAACACTTGGGAAAGGAGGGTGGCCAGGTGGGACAGCCACTGGAGAAGAGTGGACACTCACTTGGGGACGCCCTCATAGGCGTGGTCATCCTCATCTTCATCTGGTTGGTCGTCGTCCCCAGACAGTTCTTCCCCCTCACTCAGCAGACTGGCCACACGCACGGCACGTGGGACTTGGCTCACTGGGAGCTCCTCCTGGCCGCCCCGCCACAAACCCACTCAGCATCGGGCTTCCCTTCAAGCCCCAGATCCCCCCCCCCCCCCCCCGCCGGGGGCTGCCGCGCTCCCTCAGTCCAGTCCACCTAACCCACACGACTCAGCACTTTCATCACTGCTGTTTCCACATACTCCCTCCCCTGCCAGCAGGTGGCACAGGGACCCAGGGGGACAGCATCACTCAGAGACAAAGACAGAAAGATGAAGGGATAGTGAATAACACTCAGAGATGGAGAGTTAAGACACCAGGGGGACACAGGAAAAGAGAAAGTGAAAGAGACGGAGGAAGATGCTCTCAGGGAGATGTGCTCAAACACTGAGGGAGAGAAGAGGCCACACATAGCCATCCAGAAGTAGCTGAAGACTGGAGCTGGGGCTCAAACAAGAGCCCCCAGATCCCTGGCAGGGAGCTCAGGTGCTATGCTCTACCCTCAAGCCCTGCGTGGCAAGACAACGAAGGGGGAAGGAAACATCCTGGGAACTGGCTCCCCTTTCTCTATCAGGTGGTCCCCAGGGTCTGAGAGGCAGCTGGGCAGCCCACCCTCCACTCTGACAGGCAGCCCAAACCCTAACCACCACCTGCCCCACCTTCTTGGTCATCACGCCAGCTGGGGCCGCTGGCCCCTCCTCTGGAGGCTCATCATAGTCAGAGTCATCTGAGGAGAGAGAGGGGTGGGGGTGGGAAGAGACTCAGACTAGCCTCCCCTCCTGGGTACCCTGGCCTGGCTTCACAAAGGCCACCCTTAGCCTAAAAAGACCCCCTACCCCTCACCCCAGCCCAGCTTTCAAAAATAGGCACAGGGGACAGGAAATGCTATTTATACACTCACGGCATCATAGGACAGCCTCAAAGGAGAGGCCAGGCCACCACAAGGAGGTCTGAATAGGGGTAAGTTTAGGGGTCAGAGGCAAGGACTGTTTAAAAAGGCTAAAAAAGTAACAAGAATCAAGAATCGAGAAAAATGGACACTCCAAGTTGAAAAGCAAACCATCAACAACCATGGAAAATAGCCCTAGACTTTAAACAAAGGGCAATTCAAAAAGTTTGCCACGTGCACTTAACAGTCAGTAGGTCAGATAGGTGGGTGCCGTCTCCATTTTGAGGATGAAGAGAATGGTGCTCACCTGTCCAGGGCCACACTGTGTTGGTGGCGGAGCCCAGTAGAAAGTTTGATCCTTGCATCCTTGCAGACTCCCAAGGGGCCCTGATCCCAGGCTACCCACCAGGAACCTCATGCCTGGCTATTGCACTCACCGAACTCTGGGGGCAGGCGAAGAGGCTTCGGGGGGATCTCCGGGGGGCTGGGAGGTGGAGACGGGGGCTGTGGAGGCACTCGGGGGAAGGTGGCCGGGGGCTCCTCAGGCGCTGGCTGGGGAGGCGATGATGGTGGTAATGACAGTAACTCCTCCTCCCTGGAGGGAAGGCTGGGAACAGACCAAAAGTTCGGCACCAGGGGTTAGCTCCAGGTAGGGGAGTCACTGGGCTGGCATCACTATGTGACAGAGCCAGGCCTGAAACCCACTGAACTCCCAGCTCACCTGGGCTGTAGCAAAGCTCATTCATTCCACAAACTCAGACGGGAGCCCTCCTCACCTCACTCCTCTGCCCCCAAACCTCCAAGCTTCCCAAGCCTAAAGGAGGCAGGCACCTTATTTGGCATGTATAAGTTGCCCCTGCATTGCTGTGATCGGGTTACCTATCCCCAAAGCTCTAGCTTTTAGCCACATGTACCCACAGCGTCTCCAATCTAGCAGTCCAGAGTGGGCTGCATCCTAGCCTATGGAGTCAGGGAAGACTGGAGGAAGTGATGCTTGACTTGAGCTTTTAAGGATAAGAAGGAATGTGTTGGTGAGTGGATAGGTTCAGGATCAAAATGGACATCTAAGCCAAGGGCAGAGACCAGAGCCTCAGAAACCAAGTCATAAGGCCCTGAGTCTTAGGGGTCCCTGGCTCAAGACTACCTTCTCCCTTGCCCCAGACATGGATGCAAACGTGTCCACCTCCTGCGTGCCTCAGACCCCTCAAATTCACCTGATCCCACCAGACTTAATTCCAATATAGTTAACACAAAGTGTCATATTAGTTTCAGGTGTACGATACAGTGATTCAACAACCCTATACAGTACTCAGTGCTCATCACAGGTGATCACTCCTGATCCCCTTCACCCATTTCACCCCCACCCCCACCCACCTCCCCTCTGGTAACCATCAGTTTGTTCTCCGTATTTAAGCATCTGGGTTTTTTGTCTCCTTTTTTTGTTATTTGTTTCTTAAATTCCGTATGAGTGAAATCATATGGTATTTGTCTTTCTCTGACTGACTTGTCTCACTTAGCAGTGTAGCCTCTAGGTCCATCCACGTTGTTGCACGTGGCGCACAATCTCATTCTCTTTATGGCAGAGTAATGTTCCATTGTATATATAGACCACCTCTTCTTTACCCATTCACCTATCAATGGACACTGAGGTTGCTTCTGTATCTTGGCTATTGTAAATAATGCTACAATAAACATCGGGCTGCATACACTTTTTGAATTAGTCTTTTCATTTCCTGTGGGTAAACACCCAATAGTGGAGTTACTGGATTATATAGTAGTTCTATTTTTCATTTTTTGAGGAACCTCTTTACTGTTTCCCACAGTGGCTCCACCAATTTGCCTTTCCACCAACAGTGCACGAGGGTTCCTTCTTCTACACATCCCTGCCATCTCTTGTTATGTCCTTACCGCACTCCTCTTGCACACCAGCTCCTCATCTCTGCTATCACTCCCCCTGAAACCCTTCCCCAACTCCAAGGCCGGGTTCAGGGTCCCCTGAGCTCCCACAGCCTCAGTGCTCTGTGTATCCATCTCAGCACAGATCACACTGTTCCCTACAGGCTAAGTATCTCCCGAGTGTCTCCTGGCTTTGGCATCAGATGTGAGTTTGAACCTTGACTCAGTCTTAGTTCCTGTGTGTCCAAGGGCAAGCACCTCGCCCCTCTGAGACTCAGTTTCTTCTTCTGTAGAGGGGGGACTATATCACCGACCTGGCAGGGTGTTTGGAGAATTAACCAAGACAAGGTGTGTTTTGTGCCCCCACAGCTGGAACAAGGGACATAGCCCTAGAGGCCTGGCCCCACCCACTCTCTCTGCCAGTGTCTGGCAGGGGCCAAGGAGGAACATCAGAGTGGGTGGGCAATTGTCTCACTGGTTATTTTCAGCCTGGTTATTGCCCCAACATTCCTGGCAGTGATTGGCAATGTGCGTTTATCATAAAAGCAAGCAAGAGCTGGGGTGTGACCATGATGCCAGGCCTTCGTTCCTGCTGTTGCCTCCTCCAGGAATCCCTTCCCCTTGGTCTCTGACCAGAGAACATCCATTCATCCTTTATCTCCAAACTCAAGTTCTGCTTCTCTGAATGCCTTTCCTGACCCCTCTTCCACACTCCCCCAGACCCTGCCCATCTCCCCCTCTGTGACAAGCTTCAGACAAATGATTCCAAATAACATTTTTTAAAGTATCTTCCTCCTTTGTGCCAGGCATTTATACTATGCCAGGACCCGAACCCTGACTCCGCAGTCTATGGGCCTCCTAAGATACATGGCTGTTTCCATATTACCCTGTAGTCTAATGGTCTCCTCCCCACATGTAGGTAAAGAAGGAGTGAACTCCTTCCCTTTCTTTGAGAGAATCTGACCTTTGGCTCGCTTTCTCACACTGCTCCCTTAGAAACCTGCTGAAGGTGTTATGTCAGCCACGTTCCTTGGCAACGTTGCCTTGGACAAAAGTGGCCTGAGCGAGGCACTGCACCTAGATGGGGAGAAATTGTAAGTGGCTCTCAACCCGGTGGAGGAGCTGGAGCTTTGGGCTTCCCTGAACGTGGTGGCTTGTCACTGGCACAACCCATGTAGGAACCCGAAACCACACCTCTGGGGTCGTTAGATGGAATACTGGACTCTTGAATCAAGAGGTTTCTAAGCCAGGATGGCTCTCACACCTACCTGTCATCTCAGTCCCCCACCTCTCCTGGGGGGCCACAGAGAATGGCTCCTGGACAGCTGTGTGAACTGACTGCCACAAGGACCCCACAGCAGAGGAAGGCCCACCACTACCCTGGTGGCCAGCTGTTTCGTCTTAAATGCTTCTCAGGGAATCTGATGCCAAGTGGTGCTCATGAGAGCCTGAATGTTTAGGGGGGCCTAAGAAGGCCTAAGAAGACCCCCTGGTGAACACTGCACTAGATTGTCTCCCCTACTTGACCCTGAGTGTCTTTAGGCCAGGGGCAGCATCAGACTTGATTCTTTATCTCCACAGCCCAGTGCAGGAACTGGCTGAGTCAACAACAAGAGCATGTTGGTTGGGTGGGTGGGTGAGTGGACACATGAGCAGGTGGATGGATGACAAGACAAGTAAATGGCTGAATGGACAGGTGGGTGGTGACAGATAGGTAAGTGGATAGGTTGCCATTACAGTTGTGAGAAAAGCAAATGAAAGGGTGAATGAAGACCTAGAGACTGAGTAAGTACCCACAGGTCCAAGGGCATGACCCCCAGCTGGTCAGGTGCAATGTCCTCGGAGGCTTCCTGACAGGCAAAGCAATCTATCACACCCAGCCTGCCAGACTCCAGGAAGAAGGGGCCCTTGGGGGCCTGGCCTGCGATGAGCTGAGAGTAAAACCCCAAGCTGTCAGGTCAGTGCCAGTCAGGCTGGCCCCGGGGAAGTGGGGTCAGGCTCTGCCCCTCCAATGCCAAGAAGGGCTGAGTGGTTCCCTGGACTGACACCCTCCCCAGGACTGAGAGCCAGCACTGAGGGGAAGGTGGCAACAGAGCATCCTCAGAGCTGAAGAAGCAATGGCCCTCCCATCCCTGGACCCCAGGTGCCCCCCCCATCACCGTCCTGATCATCTGCGAGGGACCCGCCCATCTGAAGCATGTGAGTTCCCTGAGGCAGGTGCCACACCTACCTTCTTCACTATGGCGTGCCCAGCACTCAGCAGGGATTAATAAATAAATGAAGACCTGGGTTCATTAATTCTTATTAGTTTTCTGTGCGTGCATTATTCTCTCTTGTCTTCATTTACTCATCACAAGGGCTCTATAAAGTATGGCTTACTGTTATCCCAAATTTACAGATGAGGAAACTGAGGCACAGAGACACAAAGTTAACTTGTCCTGGATCCCACAGCTGGGATTTGCACCCAGGCAGTCTGGCACCACAGCCTGCAAACTCAACCACGGTGTCGAATGAGGCCACAGCCAGGATCTGAGAGCTTCTCTGAGGCTCGCCTCCTTACACTGGCCACCCCAACTCAGCATCTAGGCAGCTCTGGAGCTGCCATCCAAGAGGAAATGTGATCACAACTCTGACAGTCATTGTGACCATGGCAAGAAGGGAGAGGGGAACAGTGCAAAGGGCTACTCTCCTAGCACAGTCTTTGTAGGAAAATGGCTATGTGCCAAGCAAGTGGGAGCAAGGGGACCCCACCCCCCCTTCCATGGACCTCCAGGCCTCATTCTATCATCCTCTTCCAGGAACCTTCCTGGCTGACCTCTGCCTGCCTACCACAGGGGACGGGACCATGCTGAGTCAGGGCCAGGCCAGGAAAGGAGAAGTGGTATCCGGAAGGCACAGCATGTGGGAAAACCCCAGAGGAAAGGATAGTGCCCACAAAGTGCCCCCACCCCAGTTGGAGTCCTGGACGTCAGTGCCTATAACCCTAAGAGCGGCCTCAGCTCCAATCTACAGCTGAGGTCCTGCTGGGATGTTTCCTATTGACCTCTGATCCAACAGATCAGAAGACTGGCCCCAACCCTGAGCCCCAAACATGAGCACATGCTCAGTGCCCCCCCCCCCCAAACCTTTGCTTACACTGCTTGCTTTCTCCACACTACCCTCTATCATCTCAGCCCATGGAAAGCCTGTGTGTACCTAAGAGTACAGCTCAATGGGCCTGTCCTGTAGGGGGCCTCCACCTGCCCCCCAGCCCTGGCTCCCCTGCTCCTTCAGTCCCTTATTCCTCTATCCAAGTGACATATGGACACATCTGCTCTACTCACTATGCCCATAGCAAGACCAGGCAACTTCTGGACGGGCCAGAGGCTGATCCACCCCAGGATGGGATCACAGCCTGAGGTTTGTTTTATTGGATTGGGGCAAATACACACAGCTGACCTTAAACCTGGGGGTTAGGGGACATGTGAGGGTCCCATGTCAGAATGGGTAAGAGTAGGGTAACCACATAATTAATCGTATAAACCAGAACACTTCTGACAGTTAAAAGAGGCACTGATAGTTAAAAGAGGTAACTATGTCAGAACAACAGGTATAAACAGGGCCTGTCCCAGGCAAAATGAGATGTGTGGTATGTCTAGCTAAGAGGCAGAGCTTTGGAGGGCGCCTGGGTGGCTCAGTTGGTTGAGTATCTGACTTCAGCTCGGGTCATGA